AACACACTGCCTGCTGACCAGACTCTGAGGAAAAGTCCATCTGACTTTGCTGATGTATTCGGTGAATCAGATGGATCTCCAGAGGTAGGAATATTTCACACACACACACACACACACACACACACACACACACACACACACACACACACACGCACACACACGCACACACACACACATACTACCAAATACCGAATATCCACATTATCGTTTTTTGCTTGACAGGGTTTTGCATAATGACAATTATTTTCAACTGCGTTCACAAATGTCATTAACTGCGTTTTGCCATTAAAATTTTTAACCATCAGATCTCGACAGTCTTTTAGTTTGACGTAACATCAACGTCTTGTCATTTCCCCTCCACCAGTTCCCACAAATTTCCTTTGTTCAGAAAAAAGCAACAACAAATTCATTTTAGTACTTTCGTTTTACATTTTTAGACCATTCATAGGCTGTATAGATCTACCTCTTGATTATTTTTTGACAGCAAGCGGAAGATTCTCTGTGAATCAAAACACATATTTTGTCAGCAGACTGACTTTGTTTCGCTTCTCATCCTTCCTTCATAACCGCGCTATGCAGTAACACCGTTGTGATACATGGGACATGTACTGTATATTGTTGTTGTTGGTGATTGGGTTCAATACTGTATTACACGAAGCCATTTTTTTGCCATTATGATATGCACCAACATTACACTTAACTGTTAGACCGGAGTTCAATGTATCAGTGGAGGCAAGGGCGTGTCTCATGCTTTATTTATCATCGACAAAAAAATATTCTAATACCTCTTGCTAATTTGTGTTGTAATGTTTCTACTGTTTTTTTATGTAAATGCATTCATAAAGGCTGGTTCGTCTTTCATAATTTTGTGATTGAAAAATCCTTCAGTAAAGCCATCACACTTAAGCTGACAACTATTACAATTACGTAGCTCTATCATATGACTGTTGCTGTGCTGACAAATAGCGATTGTCTCAACTGTAGACGCACATGATGTGGCCCTGGACAGGTTGTGTGTATGTTTTATTACATTAAACTCCTGTTGTTGCAGGCAGATTAACCCTGTTTACTACAGAGCTATAGTCAACATGAAGGGAACGAGAAAGAGGAAATTAAGTTAACTTTAACTCCATACTGATTTTCTAAAAAATGATTTAAAAATGAACACTATCAATCTGTCCGTAAAGTAATGCACGAGATAAGTTGTGCTAGAAGCACAAAGGAAAACGTTACGAAATGTAATCAAGACAGCGTAAACCACACCCGACTGAATCCTTTAGTTTACGTTGATGAGCAAGCCAGCTAGCACATACTAAAATACAACAAGACAGTAACCTTATACCCTCCTCAATGGAAAGGATGCTGCTCAGGTCTCCCACCAGCTAACACTATAGCTTACAACACACATTTACGTGTTTTAAGATCTGATGCCTGTTTATCCAGTATTATGTGGTACCCCGTTTGAAGTATACTTTACAAAGTAGAACTTCAAAGACTCGGGCAATTAAGACCTCGTTATTCCTCTTCATGTACATGCGCTCAGGTTTTGGGGTTGGGTTTTGGATATATTCTGATGAGGAAATTGTATGCAGTGCAAATTCAAGACTGGTTGCATTGTAATGCAACAACATATCCTTATTAATAAATAGTAAATTTTTATTAGGAATGAAAAGATATTTTTTTCCATGTGAATGTTGGTACAGCAGTGGAACTACACTTTCATGAGCATGCCAGCTCTTTAAGATTTAATAACACATTCCATAACAGCACACTTAATTATGGTTCGATATATATATATATATATAGCCCTCATTGTGCAACTTTATCCTTTTACACCTCGACTCTAGATTACTGCTTCTGTTCATCTCTCCAATACTTTTTTGCATTCACTTTATCTGTGGTTCCCACGTCTATGACATTCTTACTTGACTGCAGTAATATTTCTCTTCTGTAGCAAGAGTTAAAATGATTCAGGCCATCAGAAAGACGGTTGATTTGCAATTTGGCCTGTCTGTCTTTTTGTTGCGAAATGATGCGTTTATTATCTACAGTAAAAGAAACAATATTTGTTGACTTAAATAACTATTCGCTTTTTCAGATTTTGGCTTGAATTTATGTCAAAATATGATACGAACAAGAACATAGTTAGTGTGAAAACATTTACTGTTGACCATAACGTGCAGCGATTAAATTGAACTCAGAGTGTCGCTATTCACCAAGCAGAGGAAACACGCATCCACCCCTTGCTCGTGCTTTGTTACTCTTGTTCTTCTCCTTGTCAAATTGTACCCTTGGATGTGCTTTGGTCAGGCATTAGCTTCAAATACAGTTTGCAAGTGCAACTGTTGTTTTATTACGTTATACTGAACCGCACAGATAATCGCAAGGGGATAAATAACACCATTCAAAGTCAACGAGTGGATTTTCGCTTTTGTCTCAAAATGGCACACAATGGATATTCAGCGTCTGGCCTGCTTTGCGGGTTTGCTTGCTTTCTTCAGCTGCTTCACACCGTCAATGGAGACATAAGCTTTTCTGTTGCCGAGGAAATGAAACCCGGATCTGTCATAGGAAATATAGCAAAGGACCTCGGGTTGAACGTGGGGAAATTATCTTCTCGAAAGGCCCGCATTGACAGCGATCTGAACCGTGAACGGTACTGTGACATTAATCTTAACACTGGAGATTTGATTGTTGCTGAACGAATTGACAGAGAGGCGCTTTGCGGCGAAAAGGCATCGTGTATTCTGGAATTTGAGTTAATCTTAGAGGCACCTCTGGAGTTGCACCGTATTTCACTACAAATACACGATATAAACGACAACCCGCCTGTTTTCTCTAAAGACGAAATCAAGATAGAAATCAATGAATTGGCTGTAAAAGGATCTCGCTTTCGTGTTTTGGAGGCACACGATATAGATATCGGGCAAAACACTGTTCAAAGCTATGCGTTACAGCCAAACAATTATTTAGTGTTGAAAATTGAGTCAGAATCAGATGGGGGTAAATTTGCAGAGCTAGTGTTGAATAAGGAATTAGACCGCGAAGATCAGCAGGAATTGAGATTATTGCTCACTGCTCTAGATGGAGGCAGTCCTCAAAGAACTGGCACTGTAACTGTGCATGTGACTGTACTGGATGCTAATGATAACGTTCCAGTGTTTAGTCAGACAGTGTATAAAGCCAGTCTGCCTGAAAACTCGCCTCTTGACACTGTAGTGGTTACAGTGGCTGCAACTGACGCAGATGAAGGTCTAAATGGAGAGGTGACTTATGAATTAAGTCGTATTTCAGAAACTAGCAGAAGAGCATTTGCTTTGAATCACAAAACAGGAGAACTTAAAGTAATAGGGCCTTTGGATTTCGAGAAAGAATCGATATATGAAATGCGTGTAGCCGCCAAAGATGGATATGGCCTAACCTCAGATTCCAAAGTGATAATTGAAATCTCCGATGTTAATGATAACCCACCTGAAATCACTCTAAAATCTCTTAATAACCCCATACCTGAGAACGTATCACCTGGTACAGAGGTGGGCATCATCAACGTGCAGGATAGAGACTC